GTCAGACTGACTATCGCATTCCATCCTGTCGAGAAAAAATCAATGCATGTGCTGAAATCAATGAATATGTCAGCGGAAAAATTGCATGCATCATTCCGATTGATTCTGACAGTTTGACAGACATGTGCTAGAAAGTATTGCTTTCTCCAATTTCCAGTCCAGTGGCACACAGCCAAACATCCGTCATCGTTCACCAGCTGCGAGAAGAAGCGTACAACTAGATTCCTAGATCAGTCTCGGAAAAAAAACCAATACAACAAAAAATTAGCAGATGCTGGTCGAAAGATGACAAACCCTATCAAAGACACTTTGGTCCGACTGGAAGAAATGCTTCATCTTCAATCCTTCACGAGCCTGGCTGATAGTGAAAGCAAGGACGTGACGCTGGCGATAGAAACAAACATGACCATGACGACGAGCATGATGATATGTGATATTGATGATGATGATGATGGTGATGATGAAGAAAGAAGAAAAATGAACCACTCATCATAGTCATGATGATAGTCATGATAATAGGATATTGCTGAGCATTAGTACTAATGATAGTGTGAGTCTATACTAAATGCTATTGACGGCTGCGGGTTTCACAATCAGATCGCTGTGGGTCATGGCTTCCGCGACAATCTTCGACCAAGGGCGCTGAACGCCATGCAAGGGCTGGACGCACATGCACTTTCACAGCTCGTTCACTCTCTCTCTCTCTCTCTCTCTCTATCTATCTATCTAATCTAATCTAATCTGATCAAATCTAACCTAATCTAATCTAATGTAATCTAATCAAATCTGACCTAATCTAATGCCATCTAGTCTAAGCTATCTAATCTATCTAATCTATCTAACCTATCTAATCTATCTAATCTATCTAATCTATCTAATCTATCTAATCTATCTAATCTAATCAATTCTGACCCAATCAAATCTAATCCCATCTAATCTATCTAATCTATCTAATCTATCTAATCTAATCAAATCTGACATAATCTAATAAAATCTAATCCAATCTAATCTAATCTATCTAATCTATCTAACCTATCTAATCTATCTAATCTATCTAATCTAATCTAATCTGATCAAATCTAATCAAATCTAATCCCATCTAATCTAATCTATCTAACCTATCTAATCTATCTAATCTACTCAAATCTGTCCTAATCTAATCTAATATAATCCCATCTATTCTACGCTATCTAATCTATCTAATCTATCTAACCTATCTAATCTATCTAATCTATCTAATCTATCTAATCTATCTAATCTAATCAAATCTGACCTAATCTAATAAAATCTAATCCAATCTAATCTAATCTATCTAACCTATCTAATCTATCTAATCTATCTAATCTAATCAAATCTGACCTAATCCAATCTAACCTAATCCCATCTAATCAAATCTCATCCCATCTCATCTAACCTAATCTAATCCCATCTAATCCAATCTAATCCCATCTAATCTAATCTAATCTAATCTATCAAATCTATCTATCTATCTATCTATCTATCTATCTATCTATATATATGTGTGTATCTATGTATCTATGTATCCATGTATTTATGCATCTATGTATCTATGTATCTATCTATCTATCTATCTATCCATCTATCTATCTATCTATCTATCTATCTATCTATATTATATATATATATATATTTATCTCTCTCTCTCTATCTATCTATCTATCTATCTATCTATCTATCTATCTATCTATCTATATTATATATAAATATATATCTATCTCTCTATCTATCTCTCTATCTCTCTATCTCTATATCTATCTATCTTATCTATCTTATCTATCTCTCTATCTCTCTATCTATCTCTCTATCTCTATCTATCCATCCATCCATCCATCTATCTATCTATCTATCTCTTTATCTATCTATCTATCTATCCATCTATCTATCCATCCATCCATCCATCCATCTATCTATCTATCTATCTAAATCATATATATATATATCTATCTATCTCTCTATCTATCTCTCTATCTATCTCTCTATCTATCTCTCTATCTCTCTATCTATATATCTATCTTTCTTATCTATCTTATCTATCTCTCTATCTCTCTATCTCTCTATCTCTCTATCTCTCTATTTCTCTATCTGTCTATCTATCTATCTATCTATCTATATTATATATATATCTATATCTCTATCTATCTCTCTATCTCTCTATCTATATATCTATCTTTCTCTATCTATCTTATCTATCTTATCTATCTCTCTATCTCTCTATCTCTCTATCTCTCTATCTCTCTATCTCTCTATCTCTCTATCTCTCTATCTCTCTATCTCTCTATCTCTCTATCTCTCTATCTATCTATCTATCTATCTATCTATCTATCTATCTATCTATCTATTGATATTGATATTCATATTGATAAGGACATATATGGACGTTGATTTTCCATGAATCTGCAATGTTCTTTCTGATTTTCGAATTGGCCACGCAAAAACATGGCTCCCCGATGTTCCCTGGCTCGGTGCCTGGACGTGTGCAAACTTAAAGCTTCTTCAATGGCTCCTGGCCGTTGCGAGGTCTGGCCCCATGGCTTAACCCATGTCGTAAGCCATAAGCCATATCTTTTACAGTAAGCAATATCAATCATATGAAAAATATTCAAGGCATCCCTCATTTTCAGATAGGCCCACATCTCATATTAGTTGGTTATATCATGTTATATCAAGTTATATCTACCCATGATATTACAATTTCATCTCCATTTTATCTGGTTGGTGGTTAAAAAACCACCTTGAAAAATACGAGTTCGTCAATGGGAAGGATTATCCCATATATGAAATGGAAAATAAAATTCATGTTTGAAACCACCAACTAATATCAATCATGTGAATAATATTCAAGAATATCTTTAGCAATTTCTGAGATGCTCCTTCCTGAAATCGGGGCCGACCTGACCTGACTCATGGCTGCCATGGCTGCCATGGCTCCTCTCCGTTCCAGCAAATCCACCAATCGCCGATCTGCACGATCAAGCACCACAACAGATCCTCGGCGAGTCGTGGTGCAGCCACGGAAAAACGTCATGCCATGTGCCATGGTCCAAAAATGGGATTACTCATGATTACTATGGATATCTATGGATTATTATGGGGGATTTCTTATAATGAGTATGTAATAAAACTCCCATTCACTTGACTTGTTGAGCAATTGGTTGGACGTCGAGCCACCCAGCACAACCACATCTGAATCAAATGAGCGATCAGCTTCCGAAGCCTTAATGATGCCGCTGATATCGTGGAAGCTAAATGGATCACGTTGCCGATGCTGTGGCACGACAGAAACCAGATGAGGATTCAGCCAACCCAACCCGCAGTTCGGGGACCTGACCTTTCAGTGACTCCCCAAGAATAGCTGGTTGAAATCATACATAGCTATTGAAAATGGCCATTTATAGTAGATTTTCCCATAAAAAAATAGTGATTTTCCATAGCTATGTTAAATTACCAGAGGGTAATCCCCAAAATTTGTGGTTGATGATGTGCTGTGAATTGACATCAGGCCAGGATTGCATGGTTGTTTTTGTTCACTTCCGCCGAGGCATTTCTTGCACCGACAGGTTGGCAACTTGGATCAAGTCTCTGAAATAAACATCACATGCTGCAACTTGGATTTGCTTTAGGGGGACCGCTTTGGGACCATACCAAAAATAGCGCACATGTCGCAGATTCAATGATGGATTTACCCATGGGACCATAAGAAATCATGTTCAACAAATCCAGGAGACGTATTTGGAAGTTTTTTCCTTTGTCCACTTGGCTATGAGTCAAAACCCTGACACCCTAGGTTCAGTACACTAAAATAGCTGGTGAATTGATGTTTATTCCCCCAGTCATATGGTAATTTCAAAGGTAACAAACGACCCATCCCCACTTTGGAAGCAGCACGGAATTGGAGCCAAGAAGCGGGCAGCGCATGCCTTTGGCGCCAATTTTGTTGGCCTCATAGGATGGCACAAATTCGCGAAAATCTTTGGGTTTCGGGCAGACCTGGATGACATGGGAATGAGGGGGATTGTCTATATATCTATGTCTATATCTATATTATATTCATATCTATCCATGCACATATTATATATATATGCGCAACCTATGTATATATATATATATATATATACTTATACACACCAGCTTATGAAATTATGATCTATTCATGCGTGGAATATGAGAAAGTCACATAAAGTCACGTTGTCTTCTTCACGGATCCTGCGCTGCAAGGTGGTACCCCCGAAATCGCTGTTGGGGGCCACATAGCTCCAATTTCACGGCTTTGCTATAATTCAAAAACCAATTGATAACTTGGGGGCACCACCCTGTGGTTGCTGATCAATATGTTGACTATATATATATATATACACAGTAATTACAGTATATGTATTGACTAAGCCAAAACGATTCACTATCAGAGTAATGCATCAAAGTTGGTCAACCTAAAACATCAGAAACGCGCATCGAAAGCATATGAGTTTGTCTGAAAATAGGCTACCCTCAATGTGATGGTTAATCACTATTTTCACTACTAAAATTGGAATTGTTAGGCATCCCTCATTTTCAGATAGGCCCTCATCTCATATCAGTTGGATATATCTACCCATGATATTACAAATTAATCTCCATTTTATCATTTCACTCCATAGATCTCCACTTTCTCCCCATGCAATATCTCCCTGACTCGATCATATGGAGGGTTTGCCATTTTATGGATCCCCAGTCGTCACCATTGGTTTCAATACTAACTCATGGTCATCCATGACGACTGGATGATTTCTGGGTGCCCCATGACAAAACGGAACCTCCTCTTTTTCTATCCCATTCTATCCCCATCATCCAATGCTGGGCGTGCCACCGCCGTTTTTGCCATGCTACGGGCTGGCCGGCTGACGGACCACCGGTTCGATGGCAATGGCCATGGCGGGCATGGCAGTGGGCTCGGGCCGCGGCCGCGCCACTGGCTCTGGCAGATCCAGCTCGCAGCCCATGGCCTGGAGCTTTCCTCAGTTCGTGGCTTTGTTACGGCTAAGCCCCGGCAGAAGTTCGGAGATCACCGGCAGAACTGTGGGTATTTATATAATATATATATATATATACATATCCACTGATAACTGGAAGTGCACTTCCAAATAGTACCATCATCACATTGTCTATCTGAATTGTTCAGAAACTTGTGGGATAATGTCTATTCCTCAAAATGTATATTACCTGATTGGTGGTTTCAACCCCTCTGAAAAATATTAGTCAGTTGGGATGATTATTCCCAATATATGGGAAAGTAAAAAAAAATACTTTACTTCGTGTGATCCCCACCATGACATTTATACATTTTGTTCCTGGCAAATCTTCTGGCATTCTATCTGACATATCTTCTGGCATTCTATCTGGCATATCTTCTGGCATTCTATCTGGCATATCTTCTGGCATATTATCTACTCAAATCTTCTGGCATTCTATCTGGCAAACATTCTGGCACTTTATCTGGCATATCTTTTGGCATTCTATCTGACATTTTATCTGGCATTCTATCTGGCATACCTTCTGGCATTCTATCTGGCATATCTTCTAACATTCTATCTGGCATATCTTCTGGCAGTCTATCTGGCATATCTTATGGCATTTTATCTGGCATATCTTCTGGCATTCTATCTGGCATATCTTCTGGCATTCTATCTGGCCGTTGAGGTCCAGCGGTGCGCGCTGAGCTGGGAAGGTCCCAGGTTGAGGTCCAGCAGTGCGCAGATGCATATTCTAACCACCTGGTTCTGGTGTTCACCTACATCTCAAAGAAATGTCAAATTACACGACGACAGTCACCCCGCCGGCTCAGCTCCAAACGTTCGATCTCTCTGTCTTCCAATTCTCCTGTCATGCTTCACCCTCCGTTTGGCAACTGCAACTTGTTGCCGTCTCCTTGCACCCGGCCCTACGTGACTCTCAGGCTCTCACCCCGGAGCCCTTTCCTTCCCACGTGTCCTGCACCAATGCACCCGACTTTTCGCAGCCAGTGCTACTTTGCAAAATCACTTGGACACTGAATCCCTCTCGAATCACTTCCTAACAACGTGAAACGTTGATCAGCCCCAACTCTCAGGATCTGGATTGCCTTCTTTTTGCAACACCTCACCCTCAGGCTCGCACCCAGGAATTCTTGGCTTCACACTTGGTGTCCCGCTTGTCCTGCCACAACACCCCACCAAGTTTGGCAAACCGTGCCCTCCAAAAAGCCACTTCTATTCTAAATATAGTCCTGCCCATCCCTGCAGACAGCTGACGTCAGTCCCAGGCTCCAACACAGGTCCACTTGGGTCTGCGTTCTTTTTCCCACTTGTCCTCAAACGTGCGCCACCCATTTTCGAACACTGCCGCTTCACAAACTCGCTTGCACACTAACTCTGTGACCCTCTCTCACTTTCATTCCGTTAACTCAGCCGTCGTGCTCTGAACCCTTGCAGACAGAAAACCCTACTCGTCCCCCACTCTCGAGGTGACACTCGTGGCTGCAACAGGGAAGGGAATTCACGCGCCGCAGCTCGTGATTGTGCTACTGCTGCCCCCGACTCTCAGGCACCCACCCAGGAGGTCTTTGGCTTTTCCTGCTACAATGCCCCACCCATTCTGGCAGAAAGAACCACTTGCACCCGCACTCCCTCTCAAATCCGTTTCACTAACACACCGGTGCTGAGATACAACCATCAAGACACGAAACTCCGCAGCTTCCGCAACTTAAATCTATCTCAGGTCACCACCCTGGCAGTTTTCGGTTCCCACTTCTCCTGCCCGCATGTGCCCCCCATTTTGGCCAACAAGGGCCCTTGCACAAATCCCCACCTTCGATTCTGCTGCTTCCCACTTATCCTGGGCATACCATCTGTCCGAATTGAAAGTTGGTCAAGCACCAACCACAGATCTCGACTTAACAGTCCTCTGGGTCACACATCTGCTGAGGCCAACACGTGCGGCCATTTTCCGTCAACTTCACCCTGACCAACATGCATCTCTGTCGTTTTCTGTTTTCCTGCTGACCAAACCTTGCAACCTTCATTCTGCTCATACGACATGGCGCCCAGTCGTCCCCGCCTGGACCCGTGGGAATGCGGAGAATGGCAAAGCTCTATCTATCCGATGTCGTCGCACCTGTCGATGCTGATCCACTTGTGCGCCCCAACCTGTGCGCTTTGCAGAGCACTTCGTCATCTCACGTATCTCATGACATCATATCTTCCAAATTCTCCAAACCCCGCCAGTACTTGGCACACCACGACACAATTGGCCATCCAGGCCTCCCCGGCGATTCCATTGCCCAGCTTTCTTCCTTCGCAGACACACACCCCGGGCATTGCTTCGTCTGATAGTCGAACCTTCCGGAGCAGCCTGACGCAGCAATGGCAAACAACATCGACGCCACACTGCTTACAAGTCGCAGTACCCCGTAAAAGGGGCAGACCCCATGTCATGCCCATGATGCCGGTGGTATGATGTGACAGTAGAGCAATGCGATGAGAGAACCCTACTTGGGTGCCCCACGGCGACATTCTTTGTACGGCCCATCCTTGTCCAACCACCATCCGTGCCGTTCCAGCCACCTTGGCACGTTTTGCTGCAGAACAGGAGGCATCACAATTGCACCCACGGACCCCCTCTACCAGTGCTCCTGTTGTATTTCAATTGTCCTTACCCATGCTGACACTTTGGTCTCTGTTTGGCGATGCTAAAACCGATGCTTCGCCCCTTACCATAAATGTTCACCTTTCATTGCACACTGATCGCTCTCTATTTCGGGCGTTCATGTTCCCATCTTCCGAACTCTTTGTGTTCTGGAACCCTTGCACTTGTCCTCGCAAGTGCTTGAAATCTGCCTCTGGTCTTTCCTCTTGTCATGATCTTAGGTGCCGACGCACGGTGGGGGTGATCTGTGCTCCTATAGAGTTATAAGTAGCTATAATTTTAGTTATACAAAAAGTTATGAAAAGTTATGAAGTGAAGCAAATATCAACTATTTTGTCACATTTTTATAATTTAGAAAAATTGAAAAACATGTGTTTTTATTGTGTCGAAAACAATATTTTTTCTAATTATAGCGGTTGAGCCGCTTCGAAGTTGTTTTTTTGAAAAATGCCCGTTTTTTACCGCTTCCATGGCTGAGGGAATGTGCAACTGGTTTTTAAACAGAACAGGCCACTGTGGGAGCGCGCCTTTTTAGGTGCTTTATGCACCTGAAATGGGTTAGTTTGCTCTTTGCAATCTCACCTTTGCAGTTTCTTTTCTTTTTACAAAGACAAAAAAAAACAAAAAAACAAGAAACAAAAAAACACCCAACAAACTGCATCTGACCCCCTCCCCTTGGGGTGTGCAATCTTGTTTTTTTTTTGTTTTTTTGTTTTTTTTGTTTTTTTGGTGTTTTGCTTTCTTGGTTCGTTGTTATTTTGAGGGACTGGCAAAAAAAGTGGCAGGATCTAACTCTTTGCCACTTTTCCCCCCTTAGGCATTGCAAATTTGTTTGTGGTTGTTTCTGCTTGCTTTAGGTCTCTGGTTCCATTAGAAACCATGTAAAAACCAAGGAAAAACAGGTATCCTTGGGGGAAGGTTAGGGGCTTGGGGCATGGATTAAGCAATTTTGTTCTTGACTTATTTTTGAAAACATGCCAGAAGACTATGAAAAAACAAAGGCAGCCAATGAGTACGTTTTTTGATATTGACATTGCTGACTATAAACCCCAGTTTCCCCTAGTACATCCCAATATATCCCACCCATATGGGAATGTCTCAAAATGAGGCGAGCCCTTTTTTTTTAAAGTAGCGTTTTGGGGGTCAAAAAGGGCGCGCCTCATTTTGAGACGTCCCCATATACCACAGAGGTCTTTGCAGGCTTGGGTGAGGGACTGAGGGATTGGATTAGAATAGATTGGATTAGATTAGATTAGATAGATTGGATTGGCTTGGCTTGGCTTGGATTGGGTTGGGTTGGATTGGATTAGATTCTATTAGATAGATTGGATTTGACTGGATTGGATTGGATTGGATTAGATTAGATTAGATAGATTGGATTTGAGTGGGTTGGATTAGATTGGGTTGGGTTGGATTAGATTAGATTAGATTAGATTGGATTGGATTGGATTAGATTGGATTGGAATTAGATTAGATTAGATTAGATTGAATTAGATTAGCTTAGATTAGATTAGGTTGGATTGGATTGGATTGGATGGGGTTGTTGGATTGGATTGGATTGGGTTGGGTTGGATTGGATTGGATCAGATTAGATTAGATTAGATTAGATTGGATTAGGGAGTGTACCAGTATACCACCAGTTTGCCACCAGTATACCACCAGTATACCACCAGTATACCACCAATATACCCTCAGTATACCCTCAGTATACCTCAGTATACCACCAGTATACCACCAGTATACCATGGTATACGGTCAGTATACCATGGTATACGGTATTATACCCTAGTATACCGTAGTATCCCCAAGTAAACCCCAGTTTCCCCTAGTATATCTCAATATATCCCACCCATATAACACAGAGGCCTTTACAGCACTTCAATAAGATTGGATTGGATTGGAATTAGATTAGATTAGATTAGATTGGGTTGGATTGGATTGAAATTACATTAGATAAGGTTGGATTAGAGTAGGTTAGATTGGATTGGATTGGGTTGGATTGGAATTAGATTAGATTAGATTAGATTAGATAGATTGGATTGGAATGGATTGGGATGTGTTGGGTTGGATTGGATTGGATTGGATTAAAATTAGATTAGAGTAGGTTAGATTGGATTGGATTGGATTGGATTGGAATTAGATTAGATTAGATTAGATTACATTAGATTAGATTGGATTGGATTGGATTAGATTGGATTAGATTAGATAGATTTGATTTGACTGGATTGGATTGGATTGAATTGGATAGGATAGGATTAGATTTGATTTGGCTAGATTAGATAGATTGGATTGGATTGGATTGGATATGATTGGACTGGATTGGACTGGATTGGATTTGTTTGGGTTTGATTGGATCGGATTTGATTATCGAAGGAAGTTTAGAAGTCAAACTTCCGACAATATGGACAGATGAAAAGCAGAGCAGGGAAGAGGCAGAGAGAAGAGAAAGATAAGAAGAAAGAAGAGTAGAAGAGAAAGAGTCAGAAGAAAGAAGATGCAGATGTGCGAAAAGGTAGGAAAGTCGCGATTCACTGTGTTTTTCCAATGATTTGTGGCTCCGGAGGGTCGAAAAGTAGGCTCGCTAAAGCGGCGGGTGCGGAGCCAGCTGACCAGATGAGAGATGAAAAATTGCACGCCGTTGTGGCGCGAAGCACATTTCCAAGTCAAAATGTACAAAACACCAGGGTTCGGACCACTTTTGGAAGTTGAGATGTCGAAAAAGTGCACGCCGTTGTGGCGCGAAGCACATTTCCAAGTCAAAATGCACAAAACACACCATGGTCGGACCACTTTGGAAGTTGAGATGTCGAAAAAGTGCACGCCGTTGTGGCGCGAAGCACATTTCCAAGTCAAAATGTACAAAACACACCAGGGTCGGACCACTTTTGGAAGTTCAGATGTCGAAAAAGTGCACGCCGTTGTGGCGCGAAGCACATTTCCAAGTCAAAATGTACAAAACACCACATGTTCGCGCCACTTTTGGAGGTTCGGATGTGGAAAAAGTGCACGCCGTTGTGGCGCGAAGCACATTTCCAAGTCAAAATGCACAAAATACACCAGCGTCGGACCACTTTTGGAAGTTGAGTGTCGAAAAAGTGCACGCAGTTGTGGCGTCAAAATGTACAAAACACTAGGGGTTCGGACCACTTTTGGAGGTTCAGATGTCGCTTCGCTTCAAGACACTACACTACAGGACATTACATTACACTACACTACACTCCAGTACACTACATTACACTACATTACACTCCAGTACACTCCACTACGCTAAATTGCTCTACACCACACTACATTACACTGAATGACACTGCAACACAGATAGACAGGTAGACAGCTAGACAGATAGACAGATGAAAGGGAGAGATCGATAGACAGGTAGGTAGATAGATAGGTAGATAGGTAATTAGATGAAAGAGAGAGAGAGAGAGGCCAGCTGGGTAGATGAGATAGATAGATAGATGGCTAGACAGATAGACAGACAGACAGACAGACAGATAGATACATCGATAGATACATAGATCGATACATGAAGAGATAGATAGATACATAGAGAGATAGATAGATAGATAGACAGACAGACAGACAGACAGATAGATAGATAGACAGATAAATAGACAGAGAGAGAGAGAGAGAGATAGATAGATAGATAGAAAGATAGAAAGATAGATAGATAGATAAATAGAAAGATAGATAGATAGGCAGATAGATAGATAGATAGAAAGATAGATAGATAGGTAGGTAGGTAGATAGTCAGAGAAAGAGAGAGAAATAGTGAGAGAGATCAACTGATTCACAACAACCAACCTCTCCTATAGGTTTCCTATTTTTGAAACTTCCGCCACCGCCTTGTGCGGTACTACTGGTATAGATGAGATACATCTGGATTGGATTGGATTGGATTGGATTGAAATGGATTAGATTAGAGTAGATTAGATACATATATCAATGAAAAGTAATCCAGGTTTCCACGAATGCTGCTTTTTCAAAGGAGGATTGTGCTGCCATAAAGGACAATGCTCTCTTGTAAGGAGCGAAAAAACATTCTGAAAGAATCTCACATTTCAAAACATATTGCACTTTTGAAAGGGATGTTCTATGTCAAACATACTGCATATTGTGCAGCAATATTGGCTTTTCTAAAAGGGATACTGCTCCTTTGAAAGGAAGGTTAGAACTATAGCAAAAGAACTTTTCTTATAGCAAAAAAAAGTTGCAAAAAGTTAGCTAAGAAATTATGACTTAGTAACTTAGATATAACTATAGGTTATAATCGAGTTATAACTCTATGGGAGCACCATAGTACTTCCCCTGGCCCTGCCTCTTTGGCGAGGAAGGTGGTCACGACGACTCCAGGCGCCCACTGGCCTCCACATCAAACTGAAACGTGTCTGACTCCAGCCAACCCCACTGTACGCATCTTGCCTGTGGGCGGTTCCGCCGACATCAGCCTGTATTGGAGCTGAGTCGGAACGAACCGGTGCTGGCCCAGGCTGATGAACCAACACCTTGGTCACCCAGCTCAATGGTGGAATGATGCATGAGATTGCTTCTTCTACTGAACTGATGGGAACATCCCCAAGCATGGCTGCCTGAAGTATATATACCCAAACACACAGTCTCTGGCTGCGCAAGCACCTCCATAGCACAACCTGTTTGTTGTCCTGCCTACCACCGTCTCAATGAACTCAAAAATATCTTCCGAATCGTTCGTGCGTCCGACTTCCATGCTTGCTCTGTTGAACATGGTCTTGCATGGTTACATACACACATTTGATGCCGATATCAAAATGTTTTCCTCTCACCCTCTCTACACTAACATCTCAGGCAACATCTTTTGTGCTTGCTTCCCTCAAAAGCTCTCTCTGACTCTGGGCTTAGGCTGCCCGGCCCATCTTTCCAGAAGATGATCCCCGGCTCCGCTGAGCTGGGAAGGTCCCAGGTTGAGGTCCAGCAGTGCGCACTGAGCTCGGAAGTTGGCTAAGAGCTTGGCGGAAGTGGAGGTGGAAGTTGATGCAGACATGGTCGAGGAGAAACTGGAGGAGGAGGCGGAGGAGGAGGAGGATGAGGAGGAGGACAACAGCTCTGATAAAATCTAGCAACCCTCACCTGGCAGGTGGGGAATTCCAAACCACCAACCAGTTACAGTAATATGCTCCATTTCATACGAACTGCCCAGGCTTCAAAACATCTGTGGCACCTCCGGTGCTAAAGTACTGGATCCCTTCACCAGTTCTGTGTCATTCCACTTTTTCTTCCGGCTTTTGGAGCTCCATGCATTGAACCCTAGCCCTTTAGATCCTACAGGTTTTAAAAAAAACGCTGGCTATCTGCCAATCCAATTTGGATCAACTTGGGTACACCAAGTCCAAGTTGCCATCACTGAAACTGCGGGCCTTCAAGCGGCTCAGATCCTGTCTGCCGAGTTGCAAATCTGACCCATGGGGCACACATACCACAAAAAAATAGGAAAACCCCATGGGGAAACCATGCTGGGACAATGATCTACTTGAATTTGGTGTTTTTTCACTTCGAACTGTTAGTTTACCCTAGGTAACCATTCTTAAGCGGCCATCATTGGGATTTTAGGGCTACACTCACGAAACTCGCCGCATACTTGGGGAGTTGGTGACAGCGCTCCTTCTCAAAGCGACGAGCAGCTCGCTGCTGCCTGCGACGCAGAGATGATCCAGATGGTCACCCCACGACGACAATTGTTGTTCAAACTACGCAAAACATCCCAAAACGCATCCCGGAATCCCATCACATGGCTATGAGTCAAAACCCTGGTACCCGGATGGTACCCTAAGTTGGTTTATGGATGTTTATTCCCCCAAAACATGGTAATACTATAGGTGTTGACCAATCCCATCACATTTGCAACTTGTGACATCCCGAAAGAATTCCACGTCTGAATGTGTTTTCCTTGGAATGATGTTCCCCAAACATTTTACCCTCCGGAAAAACTAACATAGCTGTTGCACATGGCAATTTTTAGTGAGTTGTCCCATTCAAAATGGTGGATCTTTCCATCGTTTTATAGTTATGTAAACGTTTACCAGAGGGTATATCCCATTATTAACCATTATTAACATTTATTAATCATTCTTAACCACAATTATTAACCATAACTGGTTGGTGGTTTCAACATCACCAAAAAAAACAGCTTCATCCATGATCTGCCTCGTCGCCTCCATAAGACGCTCTTGCCGCAGCTGCTCGGACCAGACCTGGACGGCTAAATCTTGCTGTACGGTGTGTATATATATATACTATGGACTATACAATATATAGTAATTATCTAATAATATGTTAAGTGTAATATATATAATTATATATATTATGTGTAATATAAGATATATTTACTATCATATAAGTATACTACAAAATTAAAATAAATTATATATACACACATATGGAGGTTTCCTAATTATAAACCATAAATTTGGGGTACCCCCATTTTTGGAACCCCCCCTATACAGATACACTCTATGTATAGACTATGCAATAGATAGTATCTAGTAATACGTAAAATGTTATATCATGTGTGATATAACGTATTCAAAAAATATACTGCAATGTGTCATAAAACACGGTGTCAAGTATGTTATACAATACAACATACACATAATATATAACACTCATCAAAAATAGTATACACTATATTTGGTGTAATATAAATTCAATAATAAAATATATATCATAATGCCAAGAATTTCGTTTGAAACAAGACTGCAAGACTGAGCCCATGATCGCAAAGTCACAATCTCTGTGGGTTGATAAATTGGAGGGTACCCCCCTCCCGGTATATTCATAGGAACCAACCCATGTGCGGGGGTTCATTAAGCCCTAGTGGTTTAATAATGCTAACTTGACATAGTTTTATGATATCATATTATATATAGCATATATCATAGATATATATCATATATCATATCACAATCAATTATATGATATAATATTGTATTATATCATATTTCATTATAAAACATTAAACTACATTGCATTATATTGAATCATATTATATCATATAGTCTGAAAGCATGATATTAAATCATATTACGCTATATTATATTTTACTAGATTACATCCTAGCATATTCTATGAAATTATAGTATACAGTGTTATAAACTATATTGTATTATAGTGATTTATCATAATGTACTATAATTACTATATTATACTGTAGTATATTGAATCATATTATATCATATTGCACTACATATCATACTGACGCATACTATACTACATACTATATCATGTTGTAGTATATTAAAACATCTTATGTTATGTTTTACTTCATTGCAGTATATTGTATTAAAGCAAATCATATCACATATTACGTAACACTGTATATAATATTAAATAGTGTATTATACTATTTTCTATTGTAATATATTATACTATATTGTTTTGTTGTGTTGTATAATGTATTGCTATATCATACTACATTGTACCCTATTGTCATATTTACAACAATATGATATTCTATCTGATTATATTACATTCTGTAATATTCTATTCTATCATATCAGATTATATTATGATATATACTATGTACCATCTCGTTATTTAACATAGGCATAGAAATCATCATTTTTAATAGGTAGGCCGGCCTCTATAAATGGGCTATTTCCCATGGCTATGTTAAATAGCCAGAGGGTACTATTTCTGGCACATTTGTACCATGCGGTGGGCTGGTTCTCATGTGGAACATGGAAGACTTCACTCCACGGCTACGCCTGCGCCAGCCGTGTGTGCGCCTTGCGGGCACGGGCAGACAGCGCATCCTGCCACGAAGTCCCGGGTTTCCGGAGGTTGACACAGGGTGACTCAACCAAAATGTAGCGAAACCGATCTCATTGGTAGTATATGGTAGTATGATATATAATAATATATAGCATCCGTGGCTCGTTTACAGTAGACACTTGACACTTTTAGGGTATGGCATAACCATCCCCCAAGATCTCTGAAGGCTTTGTTGTTTTCATGCGATCAGCTTTTTTTCATGTTCAATGCCAGGCTGCAAACCGTAGAGCGCAGAAACACAGGAGCAGAAGCAGCTTGCGTAGCTGCCCTTCATGCCACTTGAGCCATTGGGCGCAAGCCTGACAACGGTGGCAATCAAACCTGTCGCTGCCTAAGACTCAAAATTTCGTGGGAATATACGGGAAAATCATTGAAACTAAATGGAAGGATGAATGTGGAAATCATTGAAACATATTGAAGCTAAATCAGCTAAAAAAAAACGCACTGCAAATGGGAAAGTCATCAAACTAAATGGAGGTTTATAGGGAAAATCATCAAACTCAATGGTGCATTTTCCAAACCATGTTTGATCAGCAGACCATGTGGCTTTCTCCAACAAAGTTTTTCAGATGCCGCACCTTGCCGCATCATGTCTGCGGTGGTGATCCAATTACCCATGACGGATCCATGGTGCTGGTATATTAATGCTAACATGACTGGGGTATATTGATGGGATCCATGTCACCATATATACCATACATGGATCCCATGGGTTAGGGATCTTCCAAAAGGATGAGAAAACCACGATCTTTGTTGACACCACTAGGATCCCATCCGCCTGGCTGCATCGCTGCTGTGTTACTCTGGCTTCATGCAACTGTTGCACGTGAAGACGCCTCACTGGGAATTCAGGAGGTTTGGGGAGGCTAGTCAGCTCCGCTGCAAAATTCACCAGTTATAGACCCCCATGGCTAGTGCAGGGATCCAGCCATGTTTGACACTGGAGAGTACCTGCAAAGTGGCAACATAACTCCAATATCGGGTTTATGTTAGATAATATGATATATCAAACTACTTGTCTTACCAAGAACTACATCACTATGACTACAGTTTTGCTGGTAGATGGTATCACTGTAGATATATCTACCAGTATCTACCAGTTGATAGCTAATAGGGACTAAAACCAACGTTCACATCGCTGGTATGTTGACGTCTCTGGGCTCCCCGGCCATAGCTGGAAGAGACTCGCTAGCATGCCTTTGGCACCGCAGCGTGGAACGACTTGGGAGCGGCGACGACGAGAGCCACGACCTCGATTTTTGTGCGCTCTGTTGGAGAGACTTTGGAGGGTTAATTACCCATGGTTGATAATGAGTATGAATATGAGTATGAATATGAGTATGATGATGATGATGATGATGTGGTGGTGGTGGTGATGGTGAATGGTTTTTAATGATGGTTTAATAATGTACCATGACTATGGAAACCTCCATTTGGACATGATGGAATGACTAGGTCCTGCACTTTTGATCCTCATTTGAAAGAACAAATCCACTGAAAAACACGGCAAAGAAAAAACACATAGCATAAACATGAATTGTGCACAGAGATCTGTAGAAACTTTACCACTCAAAAAGTAAAAGCAAAATGGTTCACCCACATCATCATCTCGACATGTTCGCACCTTTGGCGGCTCTCCAAGCCCTCAAGAGCAAGCGCAACCAGCGTCCCATATGATCCGCAGCTGAAAACGCCAACGCTTCCATAGCACCTGGGTACGACATAAAGTTGATGAGCGTCTGCTAAAAATATGTGCATTCATATTATGTCTATCTGCATAATATATATATATAATATATAATATCTCTATATATATATATGTATATTTGTATACAGATTGTAGAACATTTGTGAACATATGTCAACATACGGCACTCATCCCATCCACGGAAACTCGATGATACTTAAACCATATCCACAAATATAACAGCCAATATAACAGCCACCAAGCAGTGCCAAGCAGGTCTCGCAAGCCACCAAGGCCATTGGTCATTCTGCTTCGATCCCCATGATCATTTTCCCATAGATTTTGAAGGACTCCAGCCATGCCATCCCCAATTTTGGACCACAAAAACGCTGTAAAAACATCTGCCAAACTGCTGTTGGATCGATGGCTTTTTCGGGTCAACTTCAACACAAGCGCATGCCAGGCATGGCAAAAAGCCCTCACGACACGACACGACACGAAGGGGGGGAACATCTCGGTTTACGCATCGCGGCGCAAAAAAGAGTCTGATGTGGCACTTGGCTTACAATCCCAAGGATAAACACGATTGAAAATTAAACATGGATACAATATGATGTCATGTAAATTATCCATATTGAATTAATGTAGCCATGATTGAAACACCATTAAACTTATGTGATAAAACCAGTAATAATGATAACAGCAGCCCGGCTTGAGGTTTATGAAATTGGATATACCTGCAAAAACTCCTATTTGGAATGATGCTATTCAGAAATCTTGGGTGTAACTCATTGTAGATATATCTACCAGCCCTCCCAAGACAGACCCTCGTGCTCAAAATCTGGGGATGTTGATGGAACATGGTATACCATTAATTTTGGTACTTAAAAAAACCATCTGGTAATTGAGAACAAAATCCTCCAAAACTAACAGCCAGATCGAAACCTGCAGGTTTCCAGACAGAAACTTCAAGTCCAACATTAAAAGTTGTGAATGAGCTATATAAATATAAAAATATTCATTTTTTGCAGTGGGTTACTAAAAACCTGTACACCCTGCCACATAGACCCAAAAATGAGTTGGAAGACAATTCCTTCCTCTGAAGAATTATGTGATTCTCAGGATCTATGTCAATTGGACAGTTAAGAAAATCTGTTTTGAGTGAAAACTCAACCAAAATCAGGGATGGAACACTGATCGGTTTCAAGCCTGAAACCATCGTGTGTTACTTGGGATCATTCCAGGATGAAATCGGATGACCCTTAAAACGGTTGTGCTTTGTGTCTTCTCTGGGGACATGAAACGTCCCTCTGGACTCTCCAGATCTCTACAGTCCATGAACACAACAATCCTTGAAATTGCCATATGGCTATGGGTCAAAACCCTGGTACCTAGTGAACATCAAAATAGCTGGTAAATGGATGCTCATCCCACTAAAAATGTATCTATAGGTATTGACCCATACCCATATCCGAACGGTTTGGGCACAGTTTGTGCCTGAGCTTGTCCTGTTGTATCCGTCGAGAAGTCCAGGTACAGTAAAAGTCCCACCAGTGCGCCTGTTGCAAGGTGCGCAAAAAGGAAGCTCCTTTCAGCAGTATCAGACTCATCCTATCTGCCCGTATCTATCTACCTATCTATCTAATCCTATCTATCTAATCCTATCTATCTGATCCTATCTATCTGATCCTATCTATTCCTATCTATCTAATCCTATCTATTCCTATCTATTCCTATCTATTTCTATCTATTCCTATCTATTCCTATCTATTCCTATCTAATCCTATCTAATCCTATCTATCTAATCCTATCTATCTAATCCTATCTATCTGATCCTATCTATCTGATCCTATCTATCTAATCCTATCTACCTAATCCTACCTATCTAATCCTATCTATCTGATCCTATCTATTCCTATCTATCTGATCCTATCTATTCCTATCTATCTAATCCTATCTATCTATCTAATCCTATCTATCTATCTATTCCTATCTATTCCTATCTATTCCTATCTATCCCTATCTATTCCTATCTATTCCTATCTATTCCTATCTATCGAATCCTATCTATCGAATCCTATCTATCTAATCCTATCTATCTAATCCTATCTATCTGATCCTATCTATTCCTATCTATCTAATCCTATCTATCTATCTAATCCTATCTATCTATCTATTCCTATCGATTCCTATCTATTCCTATCTATTCCTATCTATTCCTATCTATTCCTATCTATTCCTATCTAAATCCTATCTAAATCCTATCTAATCCTATCTATCTGATCCTATCTATTCCTATCTATCTAATCCTATCTATCTAATCCTATCTATCTATCTATCTATCTACCTATCTATCTATCTCTCTCTCTATCTATCTATCTATTCCTATCTATCTATCTATCTATCTATCTAATCCTATCTATCTATCTAATCCTATCTATCTATCTAATCCTATCTATCTAATCCTATATATCTATGTAATCCTATCTATCTAATCCTATCCATCTAATCCTATCCATCTAATCCTATCTATCTATCTAATCCTATCTATCTATCTAATCCTATCTATCTATCTAATCCTATCTATCTATCTAATCCTATCTATCTATCTAACCCTATCTATCTATCTAATCCTATCTATCTATCTAATCCTATCTATCTATCTAATCCTATCTATCTAATCCTATCTATCTATCTAATCCTATCTATCTACCTAATCCTATCTATCTATCTATCTAATCCTATCTATCTAATCCTATCTAATCCTATCTAATCCTATCTAATCCTACCTATCTATCTAATCCTATCTATCTATCTAATCCTATCTATCTATCTAATCCTATCTATCTATCTAGTCCTATCTATCTATCTATCTATCTATCTATCTATCTATCTAATCCTATCTATCTATCTAATCCTATCTATCTATCTATTCCTATCTATTCCTATCTATTCCTATCTATTCCTATCTATTCCTATCTATTCCTATCTAATCCTATCTATTCCTATCTATTTATCTATCTATCTATCCATCTATCTATCTAATCCTATTAAATCCTATCGATCTATCTAATCCTATATAACTATCCGATCCTATCTAATCCCATCTAATCCTACCCAGTCCTGTCTAATCCTATTCAGTCCTGTCAAATCCGATCTATCTATCTAATCCAAAATAATCCTATCTAATTCTATCTAAATAGCTAATTCTGTTATCTAATTTTATCTAGTTCTATCTAAGTCTATCTATCTACAGTAATTCTATCTGTCTAATTCTATCTATCTAATTCTATCTAATTCTATCTATTTCTATCTAATTCTATCTATCTATCCATCCAACTGTCTGTCTGCCTGTCTACCTAGCTATCTATCTATCTATCTATCTATCTTATACGATCCTATCCTATCCTATCCTATCCCATCCCATCCCATCCCATCCATCCATCCATCCATCTATCTATTTATCTATCTATCATCTCTCTATCTATATTATCTAATCTAATCAAATCTATCTGCAAATCTAATACAATCCAACTTAACTTAACTTATCTATCTGTCTGTCTGTCTGGCTGGCTGTCTGTCTGATTCTCTATCTATCGATCGATCTATCTATCGATCTATCATCCGTACATGACATATGCATATTTACATAATTTATACGAACTAATCCGTAGAGCTTTTACATGGCAGGAACCAACATGATCGCCTGACTATCAGTGGTCTCAGGTATATACCCTAATCCGATATTTCCGCATCATGTACTTGCTATATTAGTCATGGGCTAGCCCACTTTTTGGACCAACAATGTTCCACTAAAAACTCAAATAACCTGGCAGTGGACAATTCCCAATGCCAGTTTCCATCAAATGTTGTTTTCCGATCAACGCTTAAATGTCTTCGCATTACCATGATTGATTGCGAGTTTCTTTCGAACAAGTCAACAGTGAAAAGCAATGGTTCCAAAAAAAAAAGTGGTGAACAAACCATTCTATCATCAATAACAATATATAAATCATGAGGAACCATGGTTAAATCATGGTTAAACCATGGTTAAATCCACACGAATCACCAGCCACAGCACCTCACCGCACCGAAGATCGGCGCGTCGTCGTTTCAGCACGGTCTCTCGCAGACGCGTCAGGTGCGAGGCGATGATGCGACGGAGGGTGGAGACCAAGTGCCTGGCGGCGACTGTACAAAACAACAACAACAACAAACATAGAAATCGATGCTATTTTACCATTATATGATATGTGCTATATAAAAATAGAATGTGTATATTCATAGAGCACATATTAAAAATTATACATTTGCAAATCTTCCATATATATATATATATCATATGTGCTCTATTTTTCCTTTTTGACTTATTTACCATGAGGTAAACGTTCACATGTGGAAAACCCATGGGGAAATCATAGGAACATCATCTACATTCATGGTGGGTAAACTCCACATCGAACTGGTTAGTTGACAGGAGGGTAACCGTCAGCAATAGGAATGATTCATAGGATTCAATGGGAATCATGACATACGGGACATCCAACAAACTTTAAGATGATTTAAGGGTCTTATCTGGAGATGTGTCATCAAAATTGGGGAGAATCATCTAAAAATGGTTCTATAGTATGTTATAGTTTATGGGAAAATAATAGGAAATCTGATCGGGTTGGTGGTTGAGCCCTACCCCTCTGAAAAATGATGGAGTGAAAGTCAGTTGGGATGATGACATTCCTGTTTGGGAAAATAAAAAATGTTCCAAACCACCAACCAGTTATAGTTTGTGGGAAAAGAATATTATGGTGTGTCTGGGCCATTTCACATAGGGAAAATGATGATGAAGAGGATGAATCGGATGGAATGGGGCATCCTATTTGTCAAACAAACCCAGACATCTGAAATCAGTTTGCCATGACTTTTGGATATGTTCGGCCTTTGTCTGAACTAAAGTCCTAAAGAAAAAGGGGGATCATCAGTCAGATCACTACATCCCTCTTCCGATATCTCAGGTATGTGACGCAGCCAAGGTCTATCTAGGGACCGTTTTATAACAGAAACATCCGGCGATGGCAGGGCGTCATGGTGAGGGACAGATTGCAGGAAGAACTGAGGATACTTTGGGATACTGACCAACTGTTGCACCAACTGGCGCCCCAAAGCATTGATCTCCATAGGAATTGGGGCGCCACAATCATTGGAGGAATGGAGAAATAATTGAGATGTCTTTAAAACCATCAACCAAAGAAGCCGAAACGGAGGTTTCCTAAAATGGGGATACCCCCAAATCATCCAAATTAGATCATTTTACTATTGAAGCATATATTGAAAACCCAAGGTTTTGGGGATCCCCCGTTGTAAGAAAACCCCCATCTATGTGTATCAAGACAACATGCTGGGGCTGGTACCATGCTGTTCTGGTTACCATGTTCATCTCCCCGGCATTGTCCCTGAATGCTCATGTGTCATGGTGAAAAATCCTTCTTCAAACAAAGTTTCGTCTCGATAGTTTAACATTTTGCCATGGAAAATGACCAATGCCAGTACCATCTGGTTGTGACTAACATAGCCATGGAACATCACCATTTTTAAGAGGTAAATCATCTATAAATACACCATTTTCCATGGCTATGTTAAATAACCAGAGGGAAGATGATTTACCATGATTTAGCTCTTGTTTAAAAGTGGCCATGGCTTCCATGTCGTAAACCATTACACAAACTGGGTACAAGAAGAAAACATCAAACAAACCATGGCTCAGTTGAAGATGTTGAAATGTACAAGATGCTTCAAACATGTTAAATCCATGTGTTTTGAAATACCATCCCTCAAATTAACATAGACCATGAAAATAACTCCTTTTTTTAGTAGAAACTCATCTTCCAAGCCCCAAAGTCATGGCACCTGGCTCCCTGGATTTTGCGCTGTTGCCCTTGCTCAGCCAGGCTGCACCTGTCGAACAAAAGGACACAACGGACACGTGTCGCCCTTATCGCCGAATCAAGTTGTATCAGGTTGTAAATGCCCCTATTTAACCAGTCATAACCTATGTATATCTACGGATCAAATTGTAAATGTACTGTAGTTACCTAGATCTAGAAATCTGTATCTATACATCTATACAAATAATTGTATATGTTATATATATATATATACATATGTATATATATATATATTTGGGTACCCTAAAATAAGTTCAACCAATTCTGGTATGCTTGACAATGGCTAACAACCTGTCCAGAAGAACTGATTTTGGTACTCACAAAGTCTCCAATCATCCAGCTTTGTCTGAGAAAATGGGGAAAACAATGAAAGACATGGCTAATCAACATCTGCCTCATTCAGATAGCCCTGTGGGGGTTTGTCTGAAAAGAGAAAACCATGGAACACCTCAATTCCAATGGACTATTATCATTGTTCACAAATCTGATCTGGTTGGTGGTTTCAACCCCTCTGAAAAATATGAAAGTCAAATGGGATTATTATTCCCAATATATGGACAAATAAAAAAGTTCCAAGCCACCAACCAGTGATATTAGGCATGTTGTATCCCCATGATTTTCTCTAAACACCTCCCAATTCTTCTCCCATGTTCCTGGTGTTTGCCATGTTTCACCATTTCTTCCAAGCCATGGTGGTCCTCCCCGAACGTGATATGAACGTTGCAGGGCATCCCGAACGTGGCCCTCGGCGATCGGCAGCCTATGACTCGAAAGGAGTGCCCATGAGGTCCAGCAGAATCTCAGGACAATCAGCAGCCCTGCGGCCGAAGAAACATGGGATTTTTGTGTTTTCCATGTTTTACCCTCGGTTAAACATTGTTAAACTTTGTTAAACACAATAGATGTGGAAAATCCATGAACAAAAAAACGTTTAAAGAACATGATCTACATCGAACTTGACGGGAAGGTATAACACACATATCAACATTGGCTCAACATGGCTCAACTTGGCTCAACATGACTATATCAATGAAACAACATGGGAATATCAATAAACAAACAACAAAGAATGGTTCTGGGCAAATTATATATAATAATAATAATAACAATAATAATAATAATTCACTAACCTGAAATGTTGGGCCATTTTGGGATGATTCCCTATATCTAAACTATGATTCCAGACTTCGGTAGAACAGTGAGGTCCTTATAATTTGCCCGAGTCATCGAGGTGACTTGGGCTCATGGTGATCATGACCATCATGACCCCTTGTTTTCCCTTGTTTTCCACTCCTCAAACTCCCACCATGATGGTAGCTTGAACAGCCAAGCTTTACACATATCTTGATGCGATTTCCATCAGCAAATATCCAGCCATTCAGAAATTCCATAGATTTTCTATCCACATGCAATCTTCACATTCTATCCCTGATATAAATCCAATCACATCTGGTTGGTGATTCAACCTACCCCTCTGAAACATATATTTGTTCGTCAGTTGGGATGATTTTTCCATTCCCAACTGAATGGAAAGTCATTCAAAATTCCATGGTTCCAGTCACCACCAACCAGTTTTCCTCTTCAATTTGCCATAGCTGGCCCGAAATTGTGGAGGTATCCCCTCCAAACCACCAACCAGACATCCAATGACGTCCACCTTTTCCCATGACTTCCCCAATGACTTGGTGCACCTAACGATGCCTTGAGCGCCACAGCGGAGTCCGCCTCATCGCAGCGAGGCGGAGCTCCGTTTTTCAACGATGGAAGGGCGATCCATGTGGAGGGCAAACAAAACTGCTTGTAAATAATAGAGGTTCATTGTTAGGCTGGACAATGGTTAATATATAATTAATTTATATATAATTAATATTATGGTATTAGATTATGGTTTAATAACTAACGGTGCATTGTGGTTAGTGGATGAAATAGTGGTTAATACAGCTTGATCCTTCAAGAATCTTCACCCCTCTTCGTTGGGATGGCCGATGAAACATACCGACATCACCGCGCCACAGCCTACACCTAGAAGTGATATGAAGCACCAGTTTCAGCATGTTTTGTTTGACCATTTACATTTGGGGTGAGTGTTTTTCATATCTTTTCATATTGGATGGATGCCGACCTGACACTTGACCAAGCCAGGGGCGAAAATTGGAAAATCACCAAAGGCTAATCATCAGATTTTCCCATAGACCTACTGAAATGGCCATTTTATTGTGGTATATCCCATTTTCAGACAGATTTTCATATCATCCTGTTGGTGAATGAATAAACTCCCATCGCAAGCGTCACAGCCTCAGTTCGATTCGGACTGGATAATACCGTGCCGTACACCTACCGTTTTTCTCCGTTGGACAAACATACCCAACCACTCCCAACGTTGGTCATATGATGCCTCTATTCCGATGTGTCACTATCAGAACTGGATACCCTCTGGTAAACTAACATAACTATAGAAAATCATAGAAAATCACCATTTTGAATAGGTAAATCAACTATAAATGGGCCATGTTCAATAGCTCAATAGCTATGTTTGTTTACCAGAGGGTAAGAAAAACTGAAGCAAGGCGACGCTGATGATTCTCCCAATCTAAATCCATCTATCCATCATCTGTCGCGGCGAAAATGGTCGGTATGATTTATCCAGATCACATGACTCACTGTATTCCGAATATCTCCCATTGTACCACTATTGTTGTTGCTTAACTTCATGTATCCGGATCATAGGACCATTATGCATCATCGTACTTCAAAAAAAGTCCATAATCCAATGCTTAATCAGCATATTATCTGGTTAATATCTAGTTAATCAATGTTCATCATGACTCACCAGATATAGCCATGATTATCTCTCAAGTTATACCATGGTTATCAAACGGCCAGCGCTCGCGCTGGGGATCATCCCTAAGAAATGATAGTCCCATTTTCATCTGGTTATGACAAACAGTTTGCCATGGAAAGATCCACCATTTTTGATAGGTAAACCCAGGTGAACCATCTATTTCTATGGGCCATCTATACCATGGCTATGTTAAATAACCAGAGAGTAATATCCCATTAATCCCAAATGGTTCAAATAAATCTCCCAAAACTCTGACCTTCAAAAGGAGCTTCGAGCTCTGCAGATGTAGCTGCCATCCTCAGCTTCGACGATTTTCGCTGCAACATGAAGGACTGGCAAGACCGGGTGCCTGTAATGAAACAAGCAAACATCAAATCCCTGTACGTTATCATGTGTAAATACATGTAAATACACATTACACACACATATATGTATATATATATATTATATATACATATCATATCCCTATGGATCCAGTTGTTTCTTCTTAGGAAGTGTTTGGGGAATAAAAGTACCTTCTAAAGAAGTTGTTGGATCATGTTGGATCCATATGTATTATGTTGATTTACGATGGGAATCTCAAAACAGTGGGCCTGCACACACGAATGTAAGCAATGGGAAGGAATAACGATTGCATAGTTGTTGAGACTGGGGGGCAAACTCCAGGCATTTAAGCCGTGTATGTATACATGCATGCGCATGTATATGCACATATGATCTGATATATCTGATATATGTCTATCCAATTCTATCCATTTCTATCCATATTCCATATACACATTCCACGAAATTCATGGAAATTATTCATCTTCATGTGTCATACAGAATTGATTCTTTGGCAATCCAATCCGTCGAGTGTCTCCAAAAGCTGAGGTGCAACCCTCGTCGTCGGGCTTTTGCGGCCCACAACTCCTCGGAGGATTCACGAAGGAAAACCAAAGCCCAAAGACCAAGGGATCACTTTGCTGGATTTGCGTAGTATCTGGTTGGTGGTTTTTCGCCTACCCCTCTGAAAAATGATGGACTGAAAGTCAGTTGGGATGATGACATTCCCAACTGAATGGAAAAACAAATGTTCCAAACCACCAGGCTGGTATAGTCCGTTTCGAAAAAAAACATAATAACAAACTCTACGGCAAATTATGCAAATAAAGAAAACTCAAGGGCTGTTTGATTTGTAACAGTCTGTCCAAATGAATCTAAATGATGAAGCCATAAAGCCACCAAAGCAGGATCCCAAAGCAGGATGTCGCTGTCCATTTGAAAAAAAACTGCTGCGGGATTACCTCCAAATCTACCAAGACAACAACAGAGGTCACCCATGCACGACTGGTATATATGCTATTAATGGATATATGAATTGATATCATACATCGATCACATAGTAATCTTAATCCCGAACAGATTCCTTTCAGAATGCGATATGCTAAGATCATACGTGGTGTTTTGATATGCTCTACCGAAGCTTCAGATTCAAGTCTCATTGAACATCGATCCCTGTGGATCCCAAAGACTTCCGAATAGAAGCTGCGACTGGATCCATAGGGGATATTTTACGGACATCGTAAGGGTCTGACAAAATCAGCTAATGTTAGTCATTACATTTTGCTTTATACAACAAAACTATGGTAAAACTGGTCATGGTTTACTATTGCTTTACGAACATTATGTTCAAGATTTCTCCAAGTGACCTGCTTGCGCTCCATGTGCCGAATCTCTCGCCTTTGCTGCCCAGCCTGGCTACTCTGAAAATTGAGAAGAACATCACCCAATTTCATGGGCTAGAACTTCATTTCCCCATTAAAACTCACTTTTGTATATGGATTTCTTGATGGATTTTTTTAACAAAACTGCCATGTTCATCCATTTTTGATGGTATTTTCATAGGGGCTATCCACCTATCCACGACACAGCTGCAGCCAAGCCTGTGAGCGTAACCGCCAAGGTTTTATACCATGGGAATGGGAATCTTTCCAAAAATCACCGTATTTTTTGGTGGGGAAATAAAGGAAAATGAGGAGAAACAGCTGGATTTTAGGTTTTCGCAATGTTTCGCAATGTTTCATTTTGAACAAAGATGGTTTTTGCAAGAATTGCAGATGGTTATGATGGTTGCTGTTCTGAAAAACAGCCTTGATCTCACACATCACACTTTTGGACATAGCGCGCAAGAAAAATGTCGGAAGCTGCAGGGTTCCGAATGTTCCAAATGGCTCGAAACTTCTGTCGAGCCCAAGTGCTGGTCAATCAATTCTTGCCATCATCTCTCTGAGACAATGTATGGAAGGACTGGCTGCTTTTGAGCACAGTTTCCATCTCTTTCTATACATCTGTGCGACCCGTATGCGATGCGCATGGTGCACAACATGGAATCTAGACATGTTAAATCCGAATCTAGTCCGACTGCATTCACTAAGCAAAATTGCATATATTCATAGCTCACGAACTCGCCCAACTCATCTTTTCAAATAAACGCGGTTGTCCTGGACCCAAGTCGTGTGCCCGAGAAGTACCGGAGCTGGTGCCTGAAAAAAAGCTGGCGAACGCGGCGAAGGCACTGCGCGTGCGGTTGCTGGAAGTACGCGGGTGAAGCGCGGTGTTCCTTGGAATTTTTGTTGGGACCATTAAAAGCTATTAAAAATAAGGATCCTCCCAGCATGTCCCCCAGGAGATTGGTGGAACCAATGTGAAAATGGTCCAAACACAGCAGGCTTCGCTGCTGAACCGGAACTCCTTGTGGCCTTGGAGCCGCTGGAGCCTGCGCCAAACCTTGTGCCATGGCCATGGGTCGAACACGTGCCGACGCTGCTTTCGGCATTGCTTCAAGCACTTGCGAGAGGGGTACTGCTTGAGGTGCGACTGGAGGTGCGACTCGAAGCCCTGGGAACGGCGCATCAGACTTCATCAAGGTGTCCTTGGAATCATCCCACATCCCCCGCCACATGACATGGTGGAACCAATGGGATGATAAACGCTCCCAGTTTTAGGCTACCCTGGATACCCTATATTCAGACACTCCAACTCTATGTTTTTCCATTCCTATCTCATTAACAGCCCATCAACATCCCAGAATATTCCAGTATCTATCCCCATTTCAATGCTTCATAATGATTAATCCCCAAACATAAACGGATAGAACACGATATAACATTATATATATATATATATATGTATAACCCCATCCACTAAGCCCGTAACATGTCTCCCAATAACTCATTGGCCGATGAAAATCTCCATCCAGGGCTCTTGAGCTGGGCTTTGGCCTAAAAACTCCACATGACCTGTCTCCAGATCGTAGATGCCACCCTGGATCTCCACCTCACCTGCCGCCACCTGTGGGAGATGCTGAACTTTTGAGCTGGGCCTCAGGATTCCAAAGGATTATCTTCTGGTACAGTTTCTGAACTGGAACCATTTTATAGCTAGGCAAATCATCATTCTTATCATCTGTTTCATGGGCCATGGCTTCCATAGCTATGTTAAAGAATCAAATGGTAATAATTCATACCTCATTTCCATTCATTTCCCCCTGATTTGATGTCGATCTCAGACGCGGCCCACCAGGGTCACCAGGGGACCCTGGTAAAGAGATGCTACATATGGCGTCCATGTGGCTATAGTTGGAGTTATTAGTGGGTATAACTTGGTATAACTCACCGCTATAATCAAATGTAATCAGCCCATAAGTTATCACTTAAATACCCATCAAAAAACTATGATTCTTAACTCCTATAACCTATGGTTTTTTATATAGTGTAACAACAGGAAATCACTCATTAATTAGCGGATTCTTGACATCCTATGAAAATCATGAAACATTATCAAACTATGATTCTTAAATAACTCCTTTTTCAGCCTACTGGTATAGTTTTTCCCCCAAATGTGCACCTTCTCGCGGATCGCTGGGCTGTATTGCAGCAGGCAGTCGATGGTATGGAAGACATTCCTTGGTCAGATAGGCTCAGTGCGTGCCAAAAAGGTTGCGAAAAAATCGTCGGTTTATAGATTTGGCACTCGGATTGAGACCTCTGTATTTGGCACTGTTTAGATGTGTATGAACGTAACAATCCCATCTATTCATGGATGATTTTCCCAGCTGAAAACCTCTGTTTAGATGGTATTTGAGTCCATTGCTATGTTTGATTACCAGTCAACGCCAAAACAATCCACCTTTCTCCCTCTCAAATGCGCGCTGAAAAAAGAACGTTGACGGCTATAGGACCATTGTTTGCTATTCTTGGAATCGACTATCACTCATTCGTCATTATATAGTTTATTGATCCACTGAATTCGTCGTGTTGAAATTTATACTTTCATCACTGACCGGAGGAGTGATGTCCAATGATCTTATTGATATTATATTAATATAGCTTTTGTATATGTATTGTATATATATATATCATTGTATTTTTTATGTTATATATACATATAATATATATATATATATATATATTATATTAGATATATTATATATATATTATACATATTATATTATATATATACCAGTGATATCCCCAGCAAATCAATAGCATATGTGCCATGGTCGAAACATGGTGGAAAATGATCATCCATCCCATCAAATCCCGTCATTGATGATGTTCATTCCCCAAAAACTGGGTAAACAACTGGGTATATCATATATATATATATTGCAACCTGAAATATCCGTTAGTAATGATATATATATATGTATGTTTAACCTCAAGGTACCACTAGCTTGCCCATGACAGCCATGCCCCGCTGCAGCAGGGAACAGTTTGATTGTCCGGTCCACAATCTGCTGCTCGGTGGCCTTGGGCCCCAATTCCTCAGAGGCCTTCTTGGCCACGTCGCTGAGGCCAACCAGCAAGGCATCCAGAGCTTTGGACACCTGGGGGTGTGGCGGGGAGAAGACTCTAATCATATGAATGGTAGTATGAAAAAGATGAACATGGATGAAAATGGGATCTTAGTGGGATATATGAGATAATAATAAATATAATAAGCAAGAGAAACGTGGGGATATGATATGGAATACATGTGAGATGACCAACCACACGATTCAAAGGATCTTTGGGATTGCCTCAAAATGGCAGATACCTCCAAATTTTGATGGGGACATGATGAGACACCATCAAAATTTGGAGGTCCTGAAATTCAAACAAACCGATGTCCAACATGCAAGGGACTCTTGGATGTGCCATTTTCATTGGGGGAACTTCTATGTAGAAGCGACCTAATAGTAGTTGAACATGCTTTAAGTCTCTCCGAGTTCTCCATATTTCACCTGAGGCTTGTTGCCGCTCTTGGCTTGCAAGTACGTTGAGGTCGCTCCCTTGATGGCTCCGCAGGCAGTGTGCCCCAGCACCAGCACCATCTTGGTGTTGAGAGCACCCAGGCAAAACTCTAAGCTGCCCACCATGCTGCCCTCGGCGTGGGTGCAGGTGTTTCCAGCATTGCGCAGCACGAAGATGTCGCCAGGCATGGCATCAAACACCGTCTCCAAGGGTGCTCAGGAGTCGGCACAGCCAATGATGGCGGTGTGGGGTGCCTGACCCTCCTTGACCAATGCCTTTCTCATGGTTGCAGTGATCTTTCCTGAAATGGCAGCACCAGAGGTGAAGCGAGCGTTACCCTCCTTCAACAGCTTCAAGGCCTCCTTCGATGGCAAAGGTCCATCTGTTGTTGTGCGGATGGGCAATGCCTGCAGGGATGGTGGCAAGCTGGGGTCGGAGCGGAGCAATTCAGCTTGCCGGGGGGAGCGGCCAATGAACTCAACTCGACCTGTCTCCAGATGGTAGATACCTCCCTGGATTTCCACCTTGCCGCTCTTCACGAGTTCCCTGAGGGATGGGCTGTACTTCAACAAGAATTCCATCGAGCTAAAGACGTTCACACGCACTGTGTGGGACACCAACTGGTCTTCGTCAGCTCCAGGTCCCAACTCCTCTTCAGCCTCTTTGGCCACACCAGACAAGCCAACCAGTAGGCCCTCCAGTGCACTGCCTGCACTCTTGGAGGTGCCTTTTTTGCTGGCGAGGTATGTGGCAGTAGCTCCAGCAATGGCGCCGCACTTGGTGTGGCCCATCACTAAAATCAACTTGGATCCCAACTTGCCACAGCAGAACTCCAAGCTGCCAACCATGCTGCCTTCCGCATGGGTGCAAGTGTTGCCTGCATTCCTCAAGACAAACAAATCACCTGGCATGGCATCGAACACAGTGTCAACTGGCACACGGGAATCGGCGCAGCCAAGGATGGCGGTGTGGGGTGCCTGCCCATGGCTCACCAAAGCTTCACGCATCTTGAGAGTGGCGTGCTTGGCCAAAGGAGCACCAACAGCAAAGCGCTCGTTACCTGCCTTCAGCATCTTCAAAGCTTCCTCGGCAGGAACTGCACTGTCTACGGTTGTGCGCACTCCATGCTCACCTTGTGTCGCAGGGCCATAGCCAGAAGAGCGGCCACCCTGACGAGTCATGGATGGAGGAAGCCCAAGATTGGTGCTCAAAAGGGCTGACTGCTGTGGAGAGCGACCCATGAATTCCACCTTTCCAGACTCAAGGTCGTACACCCCGCCTTGAATCTCGACTTGTCCACTCTTCACCTTCTCACGCAATCCAGCACTGTACTTCAGCAAGAAGTCGATGGTGTGGAAGACGTTCACCCGCACGGCATAGGCTGCGATGTCACCAGCACTATGGTGGGGCATCTCAACTGCTGCCTTCTCTGCCACGGGAGCAAGGTCCAGCAAGAGACCCTCCAAAGCAGACTCCACGCTGCCTGTTCCAGACTTCTTTGCCGCCATGTAGGCATTTGTGGCACCGTACACGGCACCGCAGTGGGTGTGGCCAAGCACCAAAATCAGGCGAGCACCAAGCTTCCCTGTACAGAACTCCAAGCTGCCCAACATGCTGCCCTCGGCGTGGGTGCAGGTGTTGCCAGCATTGCGCAGCACGAAGATGTCGCCAGGCATGGCATCGAACACCGTCTCCAAGGGTGCTCGGGAGTCGGCACAGCCTAGGATGGCAGTATGTGGGGCCTGTCCCAAGTCCACGAGCTCCTTGCGCATGATCTTGTCTGTTTGAGTTGCTGTCGGCTCTCCGTTCATGAAACGAGTGTTGCCCTCTTTCAAGAGCTTCAGAGCCTCATTTGGAGGCACGGGTGCATCTGCGGTGGTGCGCACTTTTCTGCCTCACACACACGAAAGGGACTTGGAGGTCCATTTTCTCTGTGCAGGGTGACACTTTCAGAAGATACCCTCTGGTAAACTAACATAGCTATGGAAAATCACTATTTTTACTGGGTAAATCCACTATTTCAATGGCCATTTTCAATAGCAAACTGTTAGTTTACCAGAGGGTAGAAATGGGTAGAAAACGGTTTCCAATGAAATGGAAAGCCTTTTCCAAGGTGGGAAACCTACTGGACCATTTCCACTGGATCCCGGTCTTTTTGCAGAGTCCCGTGATGTTCACTATTTAAATGACCAATAGTGAAAGGGACAAAATCATGGTTATCTCATGTTATATCAATGGATGTATATACATATATAATCAGATGTTTATATAATATATATAAAATTCAACCAGAAAATAATGGAGATATAACATCACCAGCAACCATAAGGTTTTTTTCGCGCGAAAAATGGGCAGTGGTTTGCTTCTGCCTGGAGTTGCTGGAGTTGCCATCACGGGCGAGGCGGCGGATTTTGAGTTGGGCCAATGGCTATAGCGCCGCAGGGGAAGTGAATGGAGCATGTTCACTAAACGACCATGTTGGACCACATCTCTTGTGGCTAGTCCACACCGTGTATCTGATTCAATTATATCTCTCATGATCTGGAGGTTTCCCATGGGGGTCACCTCCTCCATTGTCCATGAACTACACCATCCAGCTATTTTTGGTACCGTGACTATGGAAACACTCTCCAAAATACTATCGCGAAATATGGCGCCTCTCGCGCACTTGCCGCCCATGCCGTGCAATACTGCTGAAGTCGCACACGGCAGCGCTGAAGTCGCAGTGCTAGGGCCTGCCGTGTCAAACCAGGTACAAATATATCTATATATACTATATATCTATATATATATACACATATGTATATATATATATGTATATATATATATGTATATATATATATATGTATATATATATATATATATGTAAATATATATATATAAATAGTATATATATATACTATATACTTATATATTGTATATATGCTATATATATATATTGTATATATACTATATATATATATTGTATATATACTATATATATATATATATATAAATTGTATATATACTATATATATATACTATATATATATATGTATGCTCTCTCTCTCTCTCAATATATATATATATATATGTACATATGTAATGTGTGTAAAACAATAATAAACCACCCATTTGGGAATGGTAAGCATACCACCTATAAAAATGGTGATGACTGGGGTAGGGTTTATTCTTGTTTTACCCACATTATGTGTTTAACGGACCGAAGGCATGTGGATATAAGTTGATATAGACGCATCAATAAAGAGCTTCTGAAATAAATGACAAAACAAGAAGGGATTAATGGAACACATATTGATATATAAGTTGGTAGATGAATAAATATATGAATCAAACAACTTCTGAAAGAACTATCTATGACTGAACAAGAAGTTATTCATGGAAGACATATGAACATACAAGTTGATGTATGTATATTTATATAATATACATGAGTCAAAGAGCTTCTGAAACAAACATTTTTGACATAACAGGAAGTGATCTTTTGACATAACAAGAAGTGATTCATGGAAGATATATGGATATCAATCGACATTCAAATATATAAATGAAACACTAATTTTCTGTAGGTTTTCTGGATTCAATACCTTACTGTATCCAACGCAACCCTGATCCTTGAGGAAAGAACATTCAGCTGATTGCCATGACAATCCCCAAGTTCATAGTATCAAATTCCCAAGTTGGGCCATGAAAAATACATCTATCCCATGGCCAATGAAATACTGCTTGGTTGGTTGATAGGTATGATAGGTATCCCGGAATGTTTGTAATCATCGCCGATAAACCAGGCAGTAAAACGCCTCAGAATAGCCAGCTAACGTTTTTTTAATGATTAAATGATTATAGATTCTATATATATATATATATAATATATATCTAATTATATTCCCATTGTGGTTGGAATTGTCCCCCATAATGGGATCCTACAAAGGGCGTAGAAATCCCAATTAATGGATTGAGAACACTAGTACAACCATCCCCCAATGTCGGTATACAATCCAACTTTTGACGCGGGCCATGTGTGTCATAAGTCGACGCCACATTCTCTATTCCCAAGCACAGGTGGCGGGAGATAGAGAGAATAACAATCTAATTACACATGCACGCACCTAATTATCATCATCCAACGCAGCACATGCATTCCGCTTTCTCAAGCCCTTCATGAAGGAAGCGTATCGGTTGTGGCGGTCAGCCGCAGAAATTTCAGGGATACGGTCAAAAAGTAGAGTAGGTTGAAGATCCTTCACAAAGATTGGCTCGTTAAGAGCCAAGCCAGTCATGTTGGAAACATAATTCACAACGAAATCCATCGTTTCACATGGATTGGGAATGATGGGTCTTCGAGGAACCCCAGCGACCACCCCTTTCATTCCAAACCTTGTGAGAATTCGACACTTGAACGTCTTGAAAGTGGGAAAGATTTTCTGCTCCATGACAGTCGAAAGAGTCTGAATAGCATTTCGCAAACAAATCCCTTGAAGTACTGCGGCACGTTGGTGTCCCGGAAGGATAAGTGCTTCATCAGAGCCATAATCCGCATAGCGAGATTTGTTTCCAGCACCCCCAATACGCACGGGGAAACGAAAATCAGTGTACATGTAGAAAGAAACAGCAAGTTCAAACCATGATGCACCCCAATCTGAGGCATCATCACAATCAACATCAGGCGGCCAAAGCAAGGTCTCCAGCCACAACTTAACAGCTTTGGAAACATTGACACCTTGAAGACACATGGAAAATATTGAGTCATCACAGTCCACAGACGGCAATGCACAGTATCCATCAGGATGAAAATTTTTCAGAAAAGTGGCAGCTTCATCACCCATCAAGTTCGATTGAAAAAGACCACCAGAAACCTGAGGTGGGCATCTCGGTATTTGCATTGAAGTTGAGGGACCTCCATAAACATGGGGATCTGAGCTCATCGCTTCACATCTCACCTTATTGAAATCGGCTAAGTAATGCAAAACATCACGAAACAACGTTTCTTCCTTTTTGGTGTGTCCTGCAATTTCATCAGCCAACTTCCTAATGTCACTCGGCACCGATCGCAGAGCAGAGGTGGCAGCCAAATCAGCACAAAAATTACCAGCGATTTCCCATAGGTCGTTGAAATCCACAGCGGATTCAAACTTCCTGTGACTCTTGACTTTGCGAATAGTAAAGAGATCCGGTCTCCAGATCTGTGCCAGTTCCTCCACCAAGTCACAATTGGGAAGTTTGTGTAGGACAAATCTCCAAAGGCCAGTCGTGATGAGTCGAATTATGCAACACACATATTTGGCATCAGTGTAGAAAACAGCCTTTCTGATCGGCTGGATTCTCAACGCAGTCCGCACAGCTGTAAGTGTAGCAAAAAGTTCACCACGTGCCACTGTCTGTTCACCATGGACAATTCCCAGAGCAACCACTTTGAAACATGGAAATTTCGGATTGTAATCATTGATGAAAGCCGCAACATCTCTTCGTTGTGAATCTGATCCAGCAGTATCTTGTATCACCGCCCATGAGGCGATTCGTGCAGAAGCACAAGCAGGATGAATTGAGCCTCCATCTGTGAAAAAACGTAAAGTATCCTCTGGAACCTCAAAAGGAACGGGAATAACAGGTGGTTTGATCAACTTCAAATACGCTCTGAGGAGAATGCACATGTCATGTTGGCGTGGTAAAGGTATGTACACCCATTCCTGACGTTGATCCCTGAGAGTATCAACTGCTGATGCATGATTCTCGCGCACTTTCAAACCAACCGGACAGTGTAAAAGCCTATGCTCCCTCGTGTCACATTCGCCACAAAACGGGCATTTGTCGCTGACATCTGTGTCCCACTTGGCTTTCATGCTCATGGTTTGGAAACCTCCAACAACATTCAGTTTAATCAATTGCTGCACATCATCCGGCATGGATGAAAAAATTCTCACTGCTAACCTGGGATCAGGAAGATGTTCACCAATGCCCTTTCGATCCATTGACCAAATCACATAGTAGGTCCACATAGCCCTAAAAGTGTTGATGATCTTCTTGATAGGGTCTCTGAGCACATTGCATGAGAGATGCTCCGGTCCCTGAATGTTCCCAGATTCATCTAAGCACCATCCAAGCTGATCAAGGTAGTACTTAAAAGTACTAGCAGGTCCAAAGGGTCTCTTCCCATCAAAACCTGAAGCAAAAGCAACAGTTTGAACAGCGATGTCATACTGTACCGATGCCAACCGGCGCAAAACACGAGCACACAAACAAATTGTGTAGAAAAAAGGATCCACCAAGAACTTGGACAAAAAGTTGCAGGCCAACATGGGCGATGCTGCATGCCAATGTCCCACCAGGGTGTTGACAACCGCACGGCGTATCTTCTCAAAATGCCTCTGACCAATGTATGTTGTATCACAACTGTACAACATATAAGGCCAGACAGATGTTTGAATGAACAATGCTTTACGTTGTAGATCGCAAGGCAACCACTCAATGCGCTGAATCCGACGAATGCCCTCATCAATTTTGTCACGGATAAAACCAATGGATGCACTCTTATTGTAATGCACAAGTTCACCAAGGTCCTTAACACAAGACAAGATTTGGACAGTTTCGCCAGGATTATCTTGTCTCGATTGAAACTCATCACATGAATCACGAAAAGCTCTGGTAGTGCCCCAATGCCAACTTTTCTGATAGTCAACCTGCAGACGCATGGACTGTACCAAAGCTTGCATTTTTGAAAAAGTCTCGAAGTGAGCACGTTGCTGTCGAGACATCCAACTCCAGTTATCTGCATATGCAAAGGGCATCACATTGGGTTGAGCCAACCTGAAGTAATACAATGAGGACGTGGCCAACATGGACAAGACACTAATGGAGCATCCTTCAGGTACCCCAGTCGTTGATGAAATCGATTTGGTCACAACTCCATTGATCTGCGGAAACCTCTCCATAACATCAAGGCTTGCAATCCACGCATCCAAGAGGCAAATAGGAACACCTAACTTGAGCATAATTCGGGATACAGCATACCTACCAAAGGTGTTATAAGCTTTAATGAGGTCAAGAGAGAAACCTCCAATGCATTCACCTTTCAGGACGGCATCCTCAATGCATCGCTTCTGTGCAAAGGCTAATTCCTTAACCCCCCTCCCGGGAAGTCCACCAGAAATCGGAAAGGGAAGATAATGTCTCCAGACTCCAGCAGTATGTCTAAAGACAAATTTTCCAAAAAGTCTATACAAGCAACTCAAAATGGTGATCGGTCTTGCATGGTTCATCGACTGCGGAATTGGAACCTTGGCCAAAAGAACCGTCTTGGCCATCATCATGTTCGAACTCAAACCAACATCGGCAACACGGTGAAAGATCCAGCAAAGATCAGCAATGCAAATTCTTGGCAAGAGTTTAAGCTCATCATTGGACCATCCGCAGGGACCAGTAGCTTTACCAGAAGGAAGACTGGCCACCAATTTCATCCATGTGTCGACACACATGAAAGGATAGGCAATCTGTGGAATCTTCGGCAAAGGCGTTTCCTCCAGAATGTTCTCAAATTGCCGCCATCCAGACTCACTGAATTGGTCATCCCTTGGATCCCTTTTCCACATGGTGGACCAGAATCTGGAAAACTCATCACCAATCTCATGGGCAGTCACGGCAACAAAAGAAATGGTAAGAACACCACTTGATGGAAGCCGGCCACTGACATGTTTGAAAAAAATCTTCCTCCCCTCCTGTCCAATGAAATCGATTTCTG